GTAGAGTCAAATAGAAACCCAATAACTAATAATACAATTATCACATCTATTTCTGTAAATCATACAGTCCAAGCTAATACTCCCATGACCATTTTTCTTTTCTTAGGTTGATTCTCACTGAATATTAACTTGAAAATCTAAATTTGAATATTTGAAGTGGTCCTTATTCTCTCTACACTGAGAGGTGATAGGTGGGACATATCTATAGGTTCGGAAATCTCAGATTTTAGGCAAAATTGCCATAATATGGGATAATCAGAACCTGCTTATCATAATAGTAGGAAGAAGACACAGTACATTTAGTACATTATTTCTTATTTAACAAGAAGTATAAAAGTTTACAGTTTCCCAGCTACTCAGGAGGCTGAGGCAGAAGAATTGCCTGAACCCAGGAGGCGGAGGTTGCGGTGAGCCGAGATCGTGCCATTGCACTCCAGCCTGGGTAACAAGAGTGAAACTCCGTCTCAAAAACAAAAAACAAAAAAAACAAAAAAACAAAGTTTACAGTTTTCAGATAGATTCAACACTTATTTGAGCCTTTAATAAGGTTAACCAGTTCACAAATCACAGGGTTGCATGGGGTCCTTAAAGTGGGTAGGGAGGCAAGAAAACAATCATTACGACTTGCATGAATGGTATAATCAAATATAATATCATGGACTTTGAAAATAGATTTCATATAAAATGTATGTAGAAATGGATAATATAAATATGTATCACTTCCATTTAGAGTAATAAATAAATAAGGCTTTTCCTTTTAAGGTAAAAGGATAGTGACCTTTTGCAATTATGTAAGTGAGTATGATTCCTTCATTTGGTCTGTTAACTTGCCACTAGGCTTTGCTGGGTATTCCTTCAACATCCTACCATCACATTCATTCTCTCCTCTTTCCTCATAAAGAAGCAGATTTCCCCTTTTTCTGTCTGAGATTTCCAACTTCCTCATCACTAATGGCTTCTTCTGTAAGTCTTTAAATATGTTCAGGTGTCTGCCATCTTAAATATTCCTTTTATCTTCCTTATAGAATATCTCCTACTAGATTCCACTGTCATTCATTCTTTTCACTCAGAAGGAGACTTCTTCTTGAGTTTTATAGGTTTCCTTACTTACCCTTTAATGTAGATTTCTATGGATTCCACCCCATCATTTAAGCAAAGTGCTTTTGCTGAGATCACCAATGACCTCCTTGGAGCCTTCAGTTATACTTATCTGGCTTGACGTTTTTGTGCATCATTTGACAGTTAACCATTTCCTCCTTAAAACATTTTTTTCCCCACTATTTCCAAGGTGTCACTTTCCCTTATTTTTCCCTTACATGTTTCTTAGCAGACATTTTCAAAAGATAATATTATTTTTGCAGTTGTCATGGAGTGAGTAGTTGGGCTAGACATAAAGGGAATGGAAAGAAATTAAGAGTCCTGTCTACTCCAACTGATCAAAGTCAATTATATAACTCCATTTCTTTTGCTGAGATGGGAAGTCTTTAGCATTTCTGGATCAATGAGATGTAAGATGAGGCTTGTTGAAAGACTCAGGGAAGAAAGGTTTTGCACATAAGAGACAGCTACAGGAAAGTTTGCTTCTCTCTCACTGGATTTGAAAGAGGAAGCTCATATTAACAGTTGCCATTTGTAGTAATGTAATAATTATGAGAGGAACCAGTTTTAGGATAAAGCCAATATTGTGATGGCAGAGTGGAATGGAAAAATAAATCTATAAGTATTTAATAAGAGAGAACAAATTACTAAATTTGAAGCATAGCACAGATCTCAACTACTTCTCATGTTTACTGAATGAAATACTTTCTTGAAGTTCAACAATGTTTCCGTTGAATTTTCTACAGCTTGCAGTAAAATCACTGTATTGATACAATCTTTGATTATATCTTTTCTGCCTGTTCTTCCTGTGTATTGTACATCTCTTCAATGTTGGTGTTCCATGGGGTTCTGTATTATCCGTCTGCCTTACTCATGGCTCAATATTACATGTTCTGATGATTCTTAAATTTGTTATCTCCAACTAAGATTTCTCTACTGAACTTAGAATAAATATGTCCAAATATCCACTGAACATTTCCACTTGGATGCCTTAAAGCTACTTCAAATCAACATGTAAAAACTTAAACTATTCTCTCTTCTTGACTTCCACCTATTACTCTTTCTGTATTTCCCATCTTAGTGAATGGAACATCACCACTAACCTGATCAAATTAGAAGCATGGGTATCAACCTTGGAACTTTTATCTATCTCTAGGCCTTATGTCGAATCAGAAGATTGTTTTGGCTCTAACATTTATCATGATATTGGATCTATGCATTTGTTATGGTTTGGCTCTGTGTCCCCACCCAAATGTCGTGTTGAATTGTAATCCCCATGTGTTAAAGGAGGGACCTGGTGGGAGGTGTTTGAATCACGGCAGTGGACCTCCCTCTTGCTGTTCTTGTGACGGAGTTCTCATGAGAGCTGGTTGTTTAAAGGTAAGCAGCACTTCTCCTTCTCACTCTCTGTCCTCCTATCAGGTGAAGACATGCTTGCTTCCCCTTTGCCTTCCACCGTAACTGTAACTTTCCTGAGGCCTTCCTAGCTACGCCTCCTGCACATCCTGAGGAACTGTGAGTCAATTAAACCTCTTTACTTGATAAACTGCCCAGTCTCAGGTAGTTCTTTATAACAATGTGAGAATGGACTAATACAGCATTTCTTCCCGCCACCCATTGTTTCCATTTACTTTCACCTGAATTACTATAGAAACTTCTTAACTAGTTCCATTGCTTCAAGTCTATTCTTTCTACTCCATTCTCTGGAAAGCTGTCAGAGTGCTCTTTAAATAAAAATTTGGTCATATCCTTTCCCTGTTTAAAACACTTTATATTCCTGTTCTCATTTCCTGCAGGATAAAGCCCAGCATGACCTGGCTTCTGCTTATCCCTCTAGCCTTATTTGACATTATTCCTCTGTTCTTTTAGTTTCCTCACTAAACAGGTGTCCTTTCCAGGTGCTGTCATAGCCCTGTATCCCATTTTCTTAGCATTAACCACATCACATTATATGTATTTGCAGAGCTGAATACTATCCAATAGTCAAATTAATAACATGCATAAAATAAATGCCTGTAAATCTGTGGCATTACCAGTTATTCTGGATAAAATAAAATTTGATATTTAATATATTTTAAAAAGCACTGAAGTAGTCATCAAGGGAAAAATTACTTAGGTAACAAAGAATGTAAGTATGTAATACATATGTAGCTTACAAAGCACAATTATAAAATGAACACTCATGAGTATAAAAAGTAGAGTGTAAAGAACCACAATTCAACTTCAAAATGAGAATAGTTCCAATAATAATATTCACTTTCTCCCTGATTCTATCCCCTACCTTATCTTTAGAGATAACAATTCTAAATACTATATTTACCACTTACTTATAAAAATAGGTTTCTTATGTACTTATGCCTAAATAGTATATTTTGAGTTTTGCTTGTTTTGGGATTTGCAAATATATTACAGATGTATGCCATCTCCTGAAACTTTTTTCCATTCAAATTATATTTCTAAAGTTAATACACATTATTGTAATTATAGTTTACTAATTTTCATTGCTGTGAAATATTCCTTTGTGTGATTAACAGAATTTATTTACATACTCTCCTGGTGGTAAACATTTGGCTTTTATCAGTTTTCTGGCGTTGGAAACATTTCAAGTACCCTGAATGACACGTATGATAATTTTTCTAGTTTCATGCCTTAAGAGGAGAATTGATGGAATGCAGGGTATGTGCATGTTCAGCTTTGCAGGAAAGTGTATTATCAAAGTGATTGTGTATTATATTGCCATAAGAAGTCTAAAAGAGTTTTCATTGCTCGTATACCTACAAACAACTGGCTAATTTTTGTCAGTCTAGTAAATGCAAAATGGCATCTCTTTGGCAATTCCCTGATTGATAACAAGGTTCAGTTTTGTTTTAGTATTTACTTACCCACATGTTTCCCCTTGTATTTTACCAGTTTAAAAAACTGTGTTGTTTGTCTTCATTACTGATTTGTAAGAGTTTAAAAAAATATATTTTAGAATACAAATTCTCTTTTCTCTCATATATGTGGCAAGTATCTCATCCAAGGTTGTGGCTTTCTTTTTACTCCTGTTGTGGTGATCTATTATGCAATATTATAATTACCTACTCATCACTTAGCACTCCTTACTAGATAAAAAGGCTTTTGAGGTAAGAAACTGTATGCTTTTCATTTTTGTTTCCTCAGTATCTAGCAAGTGCTCCACACATGGCAATGTACATATAGTTGTTTACTAAATGTTTGCTGAATCAATTGTCATAACTTTAGAAATAGTGAATCAAATTTTCTTTTATGCAAATTGGTTACAACACACTGTTAAAGCCAAGAGAGTCGGAGTATACCACATATCATTCTATACTTGCACTTCAAGGGTGGGTGATAAGAGGTAGGAGTATCTGGCCTGGCACGATGGCTTACACCTGTAATCCTAGCACTTTGGGAGGCTGAGGCAGGTGGATCACAAGGTCAGGAGTTCAAGACCACCCTGGGAAAGATGGTGAAACCCTGTCTCTACTAAAAATAAAAAAATTAGTCAGGCCTGGTGGCAGGTGCCTGCAATCCCAGCTACTTGGGAGGCTGAGGGAAGGAACTGCTTGAACCCAGGAGGCAGAGCTTACAGTGAACTGAGATTGCACCAGTGCACTCCAGCTTGGGTGACAGAGTGAGACTTCATCTAAAAAAAAATCTGTAGAGAGGTGGCAGGATGTTGCTTATAAACATTCATTACCAACTTTGAACAGCTGGCAGCATTCATTTTCCATTCTTTTCAACATACTTAACAGTTAGCCAAACTCATGTAGTAGGATAATATTTACCTTAAAGTTATCACAAACTTAGAAACGACGGTAAGACACAAAATATCAATTACATATTACAGTAGATTGTGCAAGTTTCATGGTTTGTCTCATTAATTAAAAATTGGTTACCTTTTTAGTAATGGTGTCCGGAGGTACATCCCGCCTCCCAAGTGGATAAGGATTCCATTGGCCACTAGGAGATACATCTTCTTGTCCATTGTCTAAAATGTTGCTTTGCTGGGACGGGGTCTATTGCAAAAATGGTATGGCATTCTTTAGTGATGTAGTAGAAGTTTACCATAGTTTTCTGAAAAGAGTCCCTAATGATCATGGTAAAATTAATTTTGTTTCATTGCAGAAAAACATACATCCTGAACTGGAAATATCATATACTTTTTACTGGGTAAGAACTGTAAATTGAAAGCTTTTTGGAAGCAATGAAAACTGCAGTTAAAATAACCATCTTAGTGTTGTTTACTGAATTTTAAAGAAAAATTTAGATTTTTTACAGTACCTGAATAAAAATAATCAGAATAAAATTAACCAATTGTTAAAAGCCACAGCACTCAAAACTTGCTCAATTTTAGTATAATCTCACCATTTAGAATAGAAATTGAAACCATGTAATACATAGACTGTAACTTCTAATATTCCAAGTCATAATCTAAAATAAATTTTATGAGGTTATATTGATTCCAGGAGAATATGAGTTGCACTAAACCAAAATAGTGCTAACATTGGCATAATGCAAAATTTATGGTACTATGGCATTATCAACAAACAGCTTTGAAAGAAATATTAAAGCAATATAAAAATATGCTATTAAAAATATGCCATTAGAATCATAGTGTAAGTAAATCATGACTGTTTTGATTACCAATTTCATTTATTTACATAAATCACTTATATGCTAAAGTTCAAACACTTCATAAATATTTTATTTTTGCTTTCTTATTATTTTTAACAAATACTAATACCTGGATGTCTTTATTATTCTAGTATTAGATATTTTGGGTGATTTCATATTCTAACCTGAGTAGTCGCAAGTAATCACATACCATCATAAAGCCTCCAGTGGAGGGATGTATATGGTATATTGACATATATTTTCACAAAGGCTCCTTCCTTTCCTAGTGTGTAGGATATACAAGTACTGCTTGGTTTCCAGGGGGAGTTCTTCTATGGTTGAGCTATTATACTCCAGTGTTTCCTATGCCATTTTCTGCACATGCTCTAAAGGATCTCTACTGATAAAGCCCAGCTAGAGAGTGTGCAGGTGTACTTTGTGTAAGGAATTGACCTCCTACCTTAGAAAAGGAGAGAACTGGGCTATTCTCAACATATGTTAAAAATGGGCTATTTGCTAAGTTTCATCTTGTTATATTAAGTGGTCTTAGTTTGCTCTCCTCTAGAAAACAATTATAGAACCACCTTATCTCCATTCTGACTACAAGCATTTTTTTTTTAAAGCATTGCTTGGAAAAATTCCAAAATAGGATTTATGATGACACTAGATGAGGTCTTCCTAGAATCGAATGGATATAATGAAAATTAACTCAATTTTCTTCTTGTTCTTTGGCTATGTGATTTTTTTTCATATCAAAAAGTATGAAAAAAAAGAGAAAAAAGGTACTGACTTTAAGTTTCTGAGTTAGGAATGAATTGATGTGTGTTTATTTGAAAAATTCAATCTAGACAACATGTTTAAAGTATGTGTTACGTCAAATTAAGCAGGTAACTATTCAATGACTGTCTGTTTTCCAGCATTGCTTTTCTAGTCTTTACCTTGTTCAGATTAATATGTTTGCACATGCCTATACACAATTTTTTCTAGATATTAAAATATAGTAAATAAAAATTAAGAGTTAAAACATAACTGCAGGTTAATTATTACTGGCCAGTGTTTTCTTTTTGAATTTTTTGTATCTGTCTTTTCTGACTTAGTTTCTTTGCTAGTGAAGTAGGATAATTAATATGTTCATTTGGCTACATCTGTGCAATGCAGATTTTTAAGAAGTGGCCAGAATTGAACATAAGTTTCTCTTCCTATCCTCCGCATATCTATCTGTATTTCCTCCACTATACTTGCTTTGGCTGTTCAGACATGGTCCTAGTCACTATTCTTTTTGGTATTGAAAAAATGCAAAATCCTTTTGGTCAAAATCCTAATATAATGGTGTAGGTACTTCATTAGCTTATAAATTAATCTCTTTCTTTTTAAAATTAAAATTAACAATCACACCAAGTCTCTATCACAGGGGCCAAAAAGAACATAAACATGCAGACACATTAAAAAGATACTTTCACTAGGTAGCAAAATTGAAGGAACTTCTTGAAAGCAATTTCCTTTTAAGAAGTCTCTAGCCTTTTTGTTTTTCTTACATGAGACAACTTATGGATGAATTAAGTTTGTGGAAATAGAAAGACCATAAAAACAATTTATTGACATTTGTTGTTGTTGATGGCGGTATGGACCAAAAACAGAATTATGCAGTATGTGTACATTATTTCCCAAAGAAGTATAGCTATTGTGTATAAACTGAGTAGCTTAGCAGTTAAAATTCTATTAAGGGCTAAAAGGAGCTACAGAAAAATGTTACAAAACTGAAGCTATCAGTGCTGAAATTTACTCTTCCAGATAAAATAACTGAACTGATGTTTAGCTATTAATTCAATTATTTTTGTATCACATCCTTGATATTTTCTTTGGATACTTTAAGGAGTAAGAATGAGTTTTATTTTCCTCATCATATATAACTAATTAAAGACAATAACATGGAAAATCATCATGATACACTATTTCCTTAGCTTCTAAATTCTGCCGGTTTCAAAATAATACAGAAAATGTCTGGTGTGATTTAGTGAAAAATCAGAAATTATATTTGATAAGACATGCAATAATGCTGAGTAGACCGTCTTGTGGAACAGATGTTATGCCCAAAGATGAGTGTGGGCAGTTTTGGATTTACCATTTGTAATTTTGACTGCTGTGAATGATCGCAAGTGTCTACTTGATCAAGTAATTTCTAATTTTGCTGAGACATAAATGTGCATGAATATGTATGCCTCTTTCTCTATATCTGTATATGTCTGCATATTTGTATGAGTATGTGCATGCATGTGTGTTCATATGTATATATATGTGTATAAACGTGTGTGCACAGTAGTCACATAAGTGAATTAAATAAGGTTAGGGGGTATAGCAGCTTTGCTAACTGATGAGTGTACAGTATGCTTGTGAAATTACACTTGTTATTACAATTATATGAGAGTGGTATTAGGATTTGGCAATTTGCAAAGATCTGAGGACATATCCCTTAAGAATATAAGGATTTCTTTTGCTAAGTAATTGGCACTTGGTTCATAAAGGACATTACCACAGATTTAAAAAATCTGCAGTAAAAATTGTTAAAGACAATCTTCCCCAAAGTATTTCCCATGAAATTATTGCTATACTATTCATTTTCATCGTATCTTTTGGAAAAAATAGGTATTACAAAGGTAAAAATATGCCAAGCTTAGATCCAAATGATTATGATTTTATAGGCTTCAATCTGAAGGTGATAATATAATGCCCAAGTGATTTTTAAACCAGAATTCCATTATAATGAAATTCCACGAGTATCAACTTATTATTTTGGTAAATTTAGTCACTGTCTATGAGAATTTATTTGGATTTATAAGCTGAAAGCTTTTTTCATAATTAGAAAGGTAAATGAATCTTTCTTGAGGGATAGGTAGCCAATAACAAATGCAGCAGAATCAATAGAAATTATGAGTTGCCCCGAGGTGCAGCATAAATCTTACTTTGCTTTCAGCAAAAAAAAGTGGCAATAAATAAGTAACCCTTGGCACTAGGATGAATAAATGCATAACAAATGTTGGTACTATCTGATACTGAGTCATCTGCATATATGCAGAAAGAAAGGACATTAGACATTTAAAAATAGTTTAGGTGCAAATATTGCTATCTAAATTTCTCTAACTCAAAACCTGGTAGGATGAATATCAACTAATTTTAATCAACTTTAACAAAACAGATAGTGAGACCAATTTCTTCTAGGTAAAATTCTAAGACAAGGTAATTTAATACATTTATTTCTACTATTTTAGCCTTCCTTCACCTGAAATTATAATTAATTTATATTAATGCCTAATTGAATAAGCTAATAAGTAGTGGATGCTATGGCATACTGTTATGGTGGTAGGAATTAAAAAAAGAACAAGAGAAAGTTATCAATTTCTCCATTATAGAAGAGACCACACTATTCATATTGGCAGCCGGCCACTTGCAGACATGGAGTTAGGAAAGGGCAATGATTTCCTCCCCAGCCCTGCTTGTGTCTAGGGCTGCAGTAGCCTGGATGATTAATGAGTTATTTTCTTGGGTCCATAATCTTTAGCCTTTCACTGTTACCAAACATAATTCTTGGTGATACTGAGTGCTCAGGAAATACAAGTGGATCTGAAAAAGAACAAGGTAATTACTAGCATTCATTAAGCTCAGCTAAGAAACCTATAGCATACAGTACATGATTGGGGTCATGATATGTTTTGGATTAGTTAATACATTTTATCTGTGCATTCATTTTTCCATCCTATAGTACCTACTTCTCTAGATTATTTTGAAGACAATGTGAGGTAATAATGCATATGAAAGAGGTTTTCAACCTGAGTCATGTTCTGTGAAAATGTTAGGTTTTACAAACATTTGAGAAGGCATAATCAGAGAGTAGAAAGAGTATGTGTGTGGTTATTAGGCAGAAGCAGATTTAAATTCTACCTACTACTATGCTGAGTGCAGGAGTTACAACAGTGAAACAGTGAAAATACAGGTGAATTCTTTTGTGTGACACATGAGCCTCAGTTTCTTTATCGATACAATGGACATAAATATGTCCTTTGAGGGTTTTATGAGTTGCAAGACAAAATATATTTAAAGTACCTCATAGCACCAGGTACATAGTAGATTCTCAATAAATCCTTGTCTTTAGTTTTCTCCCAGTGGAAATATCTATCCATTCTACCATTAATTTTGATAATAAAAATGGTAGTTTGAATTGACATTTTACAATTTGTATTTCTCTATGATAACATAAAATTTCAAGACAATAGCTAAGCTTAATAAAACACATCCAAAGAAGCACATGGAACCATTAATAACATCATAAAAAGTTGCCTTAAATGCTTTTTGGAAAGGCAGTAAATGAATGATAAATGAATAAATGGATGACTGAACAAATAAATAA